GAAAATTCAAGCAAAACAAAACAATGTGTTTGCAGAAAGGAACATATAATATTGTTATCTTATGCCATGAGAGTTGAGCGGTTTGACCGCCAAACGATTCATATGTGAGAATCTCTTTCAACATAAAACAAATAAATTTGTTATGACTCTGAAATGTCACTATAGCAACTTACACATTCAGTGGTTGTGAGAAACTGCAACATTGTTCAATTTGTTGATTCTATTTGCACTTGCAGCTTTCGCTCGCGGAGTTGAAGAAAATGACAGTGCAAAGAATATCCTTGGATCACATTTTAAATTAATACAGTTCATTTTGTTTTTGTATTGTACGGTTTTGCACAGTTTTGCAACAGACATTGACACTTATGACACTTACCAAGGCTTGGAGTCACCTAGGAACTTGAAACTGCATTTAAATAAAATCAACATGATCATTGTCTTTGCATTTTTGATCTTTAGGGATTGGCAATGCTTCTCCCATGTCGGACGTGGCACCGAGATTTGCCTGGGTGTGTACCCATGGAGAGTCACAGCGTTGGGGAAACAGACCAGATGGAGGATCATACAAAACAGACTGGAATTCTTGTAGCTTGGCACGGGTGGACGATGTGAACGCCGACAGAGATGCGGGTCTTCATTTAGCAAGGGCTGTATTGCCCAAAAAATGTGCTGACCTTGTTTTGGGATTGGTTCTGGTAAAACCAGCTTTCGTTTACCATGCCCTTTGCCACCTCAGCAATGCAGAGCAGACACAGCAAACTTTTTGGGCATCTGTCTTTGGCAACTCATTGCATGGAAAGTTATATTTTTTTGCACGGGAACCAGGAACACCAGCATTTGCTTTGAGTGAGCCAGTGAACATGCCGATAGTGGACAAAAGAAGGCTGAAAACCTTTTTCGGATTGTTGGATGTTGGAGCTGGCATTGACTTGTCAAACCTTCTGGAGAAAATTTTGCCGCAAGATATGATGCCCATGGCGTCGCAATGCCAATTTTGTGCGCGTTTGCCGGCGTACTTTGCTTGGGAACTGGTAAGTGGACACACCAGTTCTTTCGCTTTGCCAGATCCAGATGTTGAGGATTTGTTTCACAACTCCAAACGCATGCGATCCCGAATGGTTGGCTGGTCACATTGGCCTGGAAGTTTTGATGCTTTCGAGCCACCGCCTTTTATGGACCAATCAGAAGATTTTTCTTCAGAAAGTGCTGGTCGAATTGCAGGCTTGATCAGGTCTTTGGCTTCAAGGATTCCCAGAGATGAAGATGATGCAGAAACGTTCCAGGAGTGTAGCTTGGCAGTGAATACATTGTTGCGGGTGCGAGATGAGCTTAGCACAGAAGGTCTTCACCAAGGTGTTGTGCAGCTGCAAGGACGCGTGAGTTCTGCAAAGCGGCTGCCTTATCAAGCTGCTTATCTAATCAAGACATTGCTTGTTTGCAACCATTTACGGGATGCTTCAGATTTAAAAAAAGTTCTTCGCAGAGCAATCGAAATGGTATTGCCAAAGTCTTTGACGCAGGAAATCATTGCAAAGTTTTTTCATCCTCGCCATGCGCCAAAAATTCCAAGCGCTTCAAGCATCACACGTGCACGGTTTATACTGGATGTGGCGCTGATGCTTTTCAACAGAGAAAGGAATTGCAAAGAAATTGACAGACAGCAGGAAACAATTCGCTTTGCAATGGTAGATTCATCTGTCCAAGGACACTACAACTTGGAGCTTTTGCGTGTTGTGTCTGTTGACAGTTCAGAAGTTGTGGAATTGTTTTTGGATGCGCAGCAGTGCTTGACAGAATCAGAGAGATTTACCAGTGATGTGTTTGCTGGAAGAGTAGATCCTGTGGTGTGGCTGTTGTATATGGAAGCAGAGGAGCAAAGAATGTTGAACATGAACTCCCGCATGCGCTTGGACTTATTTCCAGCCGTTGCACTGGGGAACCAGCAGCTGTATCACAAATTTCACGCAGTTGCTCATTCGTTGTTTCTTGAAACAGGCAGTGCCGGTTCTTTGGCTTTGTATTCATCCCAAATCTCAGCATTTTGTACAGACCAGGGTACCGAATTTGCACTGCCAAAGATTCCAGCTGTTCCCATCCAGTCTTTGTTTGGGTTCTTGAAGCCAGGTGACGCTGACACGGATTGGGCTGATTGGGCACCTGCCATGCGCGATTTTGGAGAAGGAGACAGAGACGCCTTAACAGAACCGTGTGTCAATTTTTCACGGGCTACGGCGATTGCCGGTTTGCTTCACATAATTCACAACTCATCAGCAGACCTTGGAAAATCGATGATGTGCTGGGACACAATCACCAATCAGCTCCAACACATTTCCCGACTTTTGCGCCGAAGAGATTCCAAAACCCGCTTGATGGAGTCTTGTTTCAATGATCCAATTGGAAAAAATTTTCATGCAGACATCAAACAATTTCAGTGCAAGCTTCACACAGGTCGGTGGGGTAGCGTCTCTACTTGTATCCTGGGAATTTTGTCATTGGAGACTGTGCTGCAGTTTGGTTGGGATGCTGCCAAGTACAAAGGCGGCCGTGGTGTCGCTGCTCCCAATGAAGGAGAAGACTCGCACCAGTTTGGGGTTGACATTGCGGTCGTTGATGAAGCAATCAAGTCGCAACTTTTCTGGGCGCGACTGAAGATGTTGGAGTCTTTGGCAATTGTGCTTCGCAAGTGTCTTGCTTGGGCTGAAGATTGTCCCTGTCACTCAAACGGAAACGCGGTTTTGCAACGTGAAGACATCCCCAAATTATGGGCTTCCTGCCCTGTCCGGGGCTGCAGGGCTCCTGAACTTGCTGCAGGTGATTTTTTTCAATGTTTAACGGGCATGTGGACCAGTCAAGCGCTGCTTTACTTTTGTCTTTGCCTCGCGATTTGAATCAAGGAGACAGGATGAATTTACTTCACGACTTTGAGTCTGGTAAGAACCACTTGCACTTTGTGTTCCGCTTGAGATTGGCTCATTGGAACGAGTGGCCTTGGAAAATTTATGGATGTGCCCATCCCAGCCAATTTGTTCACAAGAAGTTTATTGAGGATTGTCTTGGAGTTGGGGCTCAGCAAGTGGCTTCCTGTCCTCTTTTGCAGGAGCTTCACAGTGAGTCTGTCAGCGCAGAGGCACATGCATATTTGCTTGAAGGAGGCGAGTTCCCAAGCTACCCAAACTTGTGCCGTTTCATGGCAAAATTATTTTTTTGTCCAACTGCTGAAAGAGCTGTGGAAGGCGACCACGCGATTGTCCACAGAAAGGTTGCTCTTGCTCGAAACCACACAATAGCGTACATCAGTTCTTCCAGAAGGATGGCCACTCTCCAGGGATTGATCGATAGCGATCCGGAAAATCTCACAAAGTTGGCAAAACTGATGCACAGTGTCCACAGCCCTGCTCTTGCTTTGAATGAGTTGGGATTTGCCAATCACCCTTCCGCAGCTATCATTGGGAATTACCGGGACCCAATGCACATGAAGATCGTGTATCATGCTGACCCTGCTACCCTTTTTAGGCGTGCTCCAGATTGGTCTGACTTGATACCTCCAAGCAACCCAGATCTTTTTGCAATTCAGGACAGCAATGGTACCGGTGGCAAAGCCGATGGCGATAACCTGGATCCAAGAGATGAAAAATCGTCTGCACTGGTGGCCTATCAGGGGGAGAGCTCTCGATCGCAGGAGATTGTGAGACGTTACATTTTGCAATCAATGAAAGTTTGGCTTCGGGATGACCAGGACAAGATTGCAGCCGAGAATTGCAGGTTTGTGTATTCGTTTCCTTTTTGTCCAGCTGCCATCAAATCACTTGGGATAATTTTTGACAATACAGCACTGAAAAGAAGCCTGTCGCAAAGTGGAGTTTTGTTTGCGCAGATTTTGAGGACTGGAGTCGGAGACATCAAAGTTCCACATCCGAATGATTTCAATCGCAGCAATTTGGCAGTGGTGTTTCTTGAAGTCACAAAGTTTGACCAGGTTGCTGACTCTGTGATGGTAAGGAGTGATCCAATTCACATCGATGCCTGAATTCCGGAGCCTGTGACTACTGGGCCAAGCACGCCATTTGTGCTTTGCTTGGATGCCTTTCCATTAGATACACTGATGAAGATGCGAAGATGGGAGGTTGAGCCTGAGTTGAATGTGTCAATCAAATTGGCTGATGGGATGGATCCTGCTATCTATGGGACGCCGTATTGCTCAAAGTTGTTGGCTGATCTTTTGGCTGAAGGTAGCTTCTTTCTGCAAGGAAATTCTGAGGGTTTTGATGTCAAGCAGTCAATTTTGACAGACATGCGAAACAGAGGTTTGACAGAGCAAGATGACAATGCCGGATGGGCCTTGACTTCGGACGGAAGGTGTGCCGTTTCAGTTTCCTATCTTTTGAAGAAGCGGCAAAAGGTTGTGCGGATCAGAAGTGGTATCTCCTTACAAGACATGGAAACCGTTGAACTTTTGATCCAGATGCAAAATGACAAATGGAAGCCTGAGCTTGTTGACGGCAAAAAGTCTGACATTGCCAAGAAATTCTATGTACATGATGAGTCGGAAAAAATATGGTACTGCAAAAAAAAGTTTCGGGCAAGCTTGGAAATCATTTTCATTGGGACGTTAGTTTTTTTGTTGACTTTCGTGCGTTTGATTGACTATTGCTGGCGGTAAACCGCAGCAGTTTTTGGTTTTATGGATGTTTTTGGTTATGGTAATGATAGATGCTACTTGTCTAGTCTAGCGGTTTCACCGCAGACAAGTTTAAATGTACTGGTATTCTAAAACGTACCATTTTATGTTTGATATGGATGTGCGTTTTGTGTTTTGGTTTTTCTGTTTGTTATTATATGTTGTCGTTAGTTGCATCTCAGGTTGTGTTTACAACCAAGCGCATTGTGTTTTGCATGGGTCAAATCAATGAAGATTTTGCAGTATAGTACGGTTTGCAGGAAAGCACTGCAAATTAACCTTTGCAGCCTCAGCTTCTTGCCCAGCAAGTTTAGTTTCGGCCATGCCAAAGCGACCTGGTGCCAAGGAGGCCTGCAAGCCAAAGGCGAAGGCTAAGACCTCTTCGTCTGGTCGATCTACATCAGCCAAGGCCCAGTCGATGAGTGAGGAGGAACTGCTCGAGTATCGCAATTTGCATTCGAAACTTACCTACAGATCCAAGTGCGGAATGGATGGGGCCGAACAGGCCCTTCAGCAGTTGAAGTCCAATAGGCAGATGGTGCTGGAGAAATTTCGCGGTGATCGCACTATGTCATGGGTTCCAAGTAGCTTGATATTTTCAAATCCATACGCTGAGTCACAAGTAGCTTGATTTTCTTAAATCCATACGCTGAGTGATTATTCATATGTTTTTCTTGTCGAGTTTTTGCTGGATTAGGCATGGTGCATGCGCAAGAGTCGGCCCACGTCAATGAGTTCAACAAGACTGCTGAGTGGCTCAACCAGTTCCAGATCATGACCAAGATTGGGGTGACTCCGGAGCAGGTCAAAGTTGATCCAGTCGCTCAAGCCCTTTTGAAAGCCACGTTGGAAAGCTTGCCTGTGAGGGATCATGAGATCCAAGCCCTTGCTCAGCAGAATATGAAGCAGTATGAGTGGTCACACGAGACGTCAAAGGAGTCCGTTTTGTCCAAGGAGAGCTTGGGAGTCATAGCCACAGGTTGTGCTGCAAGTGCTCCCAAGGCAAAGGCAGTTGCAATGACTGGTGCTCCAACTGGAACTGCACCAGTGACCATCAACTATGGGGTTGCTTGCAAAGGCTTCCGAACCCAGATGACGAAGTGCATCAAGGAGTTGGAGAAGTGGTCTTCAAAGCTGAGGATCCTTGATGTATTGTTTTTTAGCCGGTGCAGAAATTAGTGGTTGCAATTGCATCAAATTTGAAAACAATGAATGAGCGCGCAAGGATTTTCAATCAATCAGGTAAGCCTGGTGTTATTTGTTCAATGACTTTTGAATATTTTTTCGATATTGAACGGTTGTGACTCAGCAATTGCTACCATGGTTTCATTTCATGTGGTTCAACCTCCTTCCAAGGAAGTTGCGCCCTCAGATTCCCAACAAGGACGCAGAGAACCAACAGCTTGTGGAGGACTCCAAGAAGTGCGAGCACAACATTGCCGAAAGCTTGGATGCTTTGACCTCCGCATTGTCAGACCATCCTACTGGTGGAGATGAAGATACTTACAACACCCTCAAGCTGGTTTTGGATGGTGGCCTTTCCATCAAATCCAGCGCAGAGAAGATCGAAGCAGCAGCAACGCATGCTGTGGACAAGCAGTTTGATGAAGACTTGGCGGAGGCTGTTGAAAAGGCCCAGGAGAAAGATGAAAAGGACAAGCTGAACCAATCTGGTCCTTCGGATGCAAACAAAGGTCCTGGTGATGAAGGAAACAAGCCCGTTGAGAATGGCAAAGGCACTGCTGACGCTGCTTAGTTTTTCCTTTACAGCTGATGGAGAACATTTTGTGCGCATCTGACGCTTCGAAGATTTTGGCCGTGTACCCGTACTGGTTCTTTGATGCCTATGCCAGATGAACGTCAGCAAATTTACAGATTACTTGCAGTTTGCCCATATGAAGTGGACTATGCTCAGTGGCTGCACCGATGCCACTTTGATGCGATGCTAGTGAAAAAATCCAGCAGTCTAAGATTCAAACTGATTCAGATTGCATCATTTTTTTGAGTAGGTGGTCTCGGGATTCTTTCCCTCGAGGCAATGTGCATAGGCGAGGTTGATAGGGCTGTATATGTCTTTAAACATTTTCACTGAAATTTCGAGCTTAGGGATTTCGAGCTTATGATCTCTCATTTCGAGCTTGTGAGCTTTATTTCGAGCAGCTCCGATCAGTTTTGGGTTCAATTCAAAAATCCCAGAAATCCAAAAAAATATCATTTCGTTCAGATGAAATAATGCCAACATTGTTTACAAACTATTTTTTCCTTTAGGACGCTGGACGCTCTTGTCCTTTCCGGTTGTTTGACGCGATGGACTTTGATGATGAATGTGCAGATGAAGAGCTACAGGTGGCGGGAAATGACCATGATGATCACCGCAACAGGAAGATGCATCCAGGAGGAAGAGACGACGATTCACTTCGAACTCCGGAAGCGGCTGAGATGCTGTGAAGACTTGTTTTGTGGCATCATGCAGCGAAACGTGCGCCAAGGGAAAGAAGTGGTGTGCAACCCACAACAGATTCTATGATTCGATGAGTTACCATGCCAAAAAGAACAAAGAGACCGAGATATTCAACCAAGTCATGGGTGATGCACTTGAAGCTGACCGAGCATTCAAGCGATTCATGGACGACAATCCTGATCAAGGAAGGTGGTCCCGGAAGAAGTTCATCGAGTGGAGCCAGTTCAAAAAGGAGCACTCTTTGTCATTAGTTCACACTGACCGCCGTGGCGCGAAGCCGTTTGAGAAGTCCCAATGGATTCAGCGGGGATTGAACAAAATGGGATGGAGCAAGCAACAATGTATAAACGAGTGGGAGAAGCAATTAAAGGATGCTTCTGTGAAAAGGGATACCTTGGGTATTGACGGATCACTCCGCCTTTGGATCGGGGTTGTAGAGATGAAGGCTGTTGATACCCAAAGGACCGGACCGACCCGTTATGGTGTGTTCGATACCAAAACATCATACATCATACTATCATACTGAAAGTATTCATTTATAAAAAATGCGTTCAGATTGTTTTCTTGGCGATTGTAGATATATTATATAGTTTTGTTTTCAACAGCTATACACACTACCGCCTGCTGCGCGTAGGAAAAAATCATCTAGCCGCGTTGAAACGTCCGCGGCAGAGAAGCATTTGGGAGATGATGACCGGGAGTTGATGCTGGACCAGGTCATGAAGGGTGGCACGCCGAACGATGTTGATGATCGGTTTTTCAGTGAGGCAGTAGGTCGAGAAGAAGCAGAAGGCAACAGCAATACACCAGAAAAATCCAATGTGAAGCGTGAGCCAGATGCTTCGCCTGAAAAAACCGAGACGCCAGAAGAAAAAAAAGAAAGCAAAGATTGCAAAGCTATCCAGTGGGGCCTCTTTGTGCAGTTTCCGAGCCGGTTTGCTTGACAAGTTTGTGGAAGGTGTGAAAATTCGAACAGAGAAGATGCAACTTGCAGCTGACAAGATCAAGGAAGCACAGGAAAAGCTATCGAAATCTCTTGGATCTCAACAGGATGCATGTGGCGAAGTGGTGGCTTCTTACAACACAATGCTTCAGGCATGTGAGAATATTTGTAAGGCCTGGCTGGATTCGCTGCCTTCAGAAGCTTTGAAGCTAGCCCCAAAGGTTGAAAAGAAGAAGGAAATTGAAGAGGGAGATGACTACGTCAAGCCAGAGGTGCCAGATGCAGTTGAGCAAAATCATCAGCATTTTCTTCAGTTGGTAAAGAATGCAGAGCCACAGATTCGGCTTTGCAACGGTGACTTGGAGCTGATTTCCCTTGTGATGTTGGAGTTCTACCAGCACTTGCTGTCATCTGCCTCATCACCTGCATGGCTGGTGGCGTTTGAATCAGAATGCAAGTCTCTGTGGTCAGTGCAGGATGTATTTCAAAAGTCTTTGGTCAGAATCTCAACCGATGTCCTTAGCTACATTAGCCAGAAAGAACGCACCGCTGCCAGAAACCAGGAGAGGAAGCGCAAGGAGGATGAGAGCCGAGCTGCAAAGACGCAAAGAGCACAAGCCAAGGCACATGCAGCAATGGTCAAGCAAGCAAAAGCACATGGACATGCAGTTTTTGGAGTTGATGATAAATTGTTTCAATCCTTTGCAGACCGATCGGTGATGAACAACGTGGATGAGCATCTCACAGAGCCATGGGTGTGGAAAAGTTGCGAGAGCTGCAAGTCGTGGCGCAATCATCCCAATGTCTCTTTGCGGTTGTCTGAATTTGGTGGGAGCTACAAGCAGGCTGCTTCTTTTAAAGCAGATGGGCGCAGCCAGGCTCCAATTCTTCGAAACCAAGGAAAGCAGGAATCAGATATTCTGTGGTCGTCGGTGTTTCCATCCAAAAGCATTTTGGACATCACCAAGATTCCAGAAGGAACTTCTTTCATGCAGAATTGCTGGTGGTTTGGGTATGATCCCAAGAATTCTTGGGCCCACTTTGCTCCAAATGGAGCTGGGATGATTCGGTGCATTGCGTCTGGCCAGATGCGTATCATTTGCTTCCCGGTGGCAGATGTTCAGGAAACTATGCGTGCTAAGGGCATGACGGTGAACTTGGACGAGCTGACCCAGTTTGTGTTGTCCCTCACCAAGGAGGATCCATTGGTTGGCAAGGGATATGCTGTGAACGTTTCCCAGGATGATGTCGTTTACATACCGCCAGGGATGATACTATGTGAAAAGAGTTCTTCTTCGGCTCTTCTTTATGGTGGCCGCAAATCCTATATCTTGAAAAATGAAGACTGCATGCAATCCTACCAAGGTTGCATTGACATGCTGAAAGCGTCCAGCCGTGATCCTAGCAAAATGGAATCAGTAGTTGAGCTGTACAAAACTGTGACGTCCATGCCTCCTCCCCCAGTTCCTCAAAAGGCACAAGCGGAAAAAGTGTTGGAGCCGGGAGACTTGAATTCAAAGAAGGTGACCGAGGATGAGGATGGGAGCTCAAAGGAGATTCACGTTGAAGTTGGGACTGGGACCAATGCCAGAGCAGGACAAGAAGATGGCAAACCCTAGAGGCAGTTTTTAGGTTCCAGGGAAAGCCTTGGACCATTTGTGTAGGACGGTGGTATTCTTTGGAGACTGTGATAAATATATCATTAGTCGAGTGGATTCTTTTTTACCACCGGTTTTGAGCGAGATTGCGAGCCCATCGTGCTTCGCCTGGCCTGGCACTAGCACCTGAGGCCTGAGACGAATCTGAGAATCTTGCCTGGGAAAAAGGAAAAAGCATTGAAAAAGCAGGCAACAGGCAACAGTAGTGTCAGCTTTGTAAGGCTTTGTGTTTGTGTTAAGTACTACCTACTACCAACGCCGCGGCCTTGCCGCGCGCTGCTATCAGCTGTTGTTGTTTGAATTTGCTGAACGATGTCGCATGTCTTTTGTCAAATGCACTGGGACACATGAATTCGCTTGCACTCATGGCCACGGTTTGGTTCAAAGTTTAGTGTGATTACCTGTTTTTCTCATGCAAGCAATGTAATCAGTGGATAAAATGTGAATTTGAACAGAGCACAGGTAGGTCAGATAGGTCGCTGTGAGTTGGCGCATTTTGTGTTATTATTTTGTTTCCTTTTTGCGCCTCGGATTTGCTCGCAGTCATGCCTGCACCATGGCCCCGAAAAACGCGGATCACGCGGATCGCGGATCTTGATCTCCCTGCTGGTTTGGAACACTCAACATGCCAGCCTGAGCCTGTGAACCAACAAGGTCACAAGAACCTTGGGCCCAAGACCCCAGAGGAATTTGCAATGTGGCCAAGAACAATAGTCAAGAGAGTCTTTGAGCGAGGTGACGGCAATGATGCACTTCGGTTGGCTCGATTCAAGTCTTTAGTGGCTGGTGGCCTTCATGTTTATTCAGATTATTCTGGTATGGCTGGCGAGTTTGAAGCTCTTTTCCAGCTGGGTGAAGCTTTGGCCTCCAGAGTTGAATTCGCCGTCAGCCATCGACGTTTCTGTGATATCAGCAAACTGGCGCAAGGAATTTTGAAAGAAATTTCCTCAATGGAATTCAATGAGCCTTGCGTGATGAGTGACATAAATAGCCGCTTGCCAGAGCATGCCTTGAGGTGGTTGAATGCTGCAGAGCCAGCTGGAGAAGACAGCGCTGAAGCTGCTGCAAGCAGCTATGGCTCCATGGACATGTATTTGAAGCAGAACAGAAAGTCAATCTTTGCAGATGCAACGCATGATTGGTGCATTGTGCATAATCGCCGTTGCGAACTTTTCCCTCAAGTTTGCGGTCTCTATGATGATGAATGTGATGATGGTTTCAAGCAGCCTCTGGTCATCAACTTCGCCGGAACAACCTGTAAAGGTTGGTCTGCGGTGGGAAAAGGTCGATGCTTCAGCGATCCATCAGAAAGGCCACACAGCATTTGGACCAATGAAAGGGGATTCCGCGCATCAGAGACGGTGCAGTCGCAAGAAACCATGTTTTTTTCGGAATGCACACCAAGATATCCGGTGAAGGTGCGGTGCAGTTTCAAAGTTCAAAGTTCAGACTTCAGACTTCAGACTTCAGACGTTGTTGACTTGACAGTTGAGTTGAGTTGAGAGAGTTGAGACTCGAGACATTGATTTTGTTCAAGTTTCAAGTGATTAAAGTGTTTGATTTGATTTGTTGTAGAGTAGATTCAGTAGATTCAGGATTCATGATTCATATTTGGTTTGTAATATATCTATACAGTATACAGTGTACACTGTACAGATACATATCTATATTATATTTATTAGTAAATTAATTATATATGTGTATGAGTAGTATAAGGCTATAAGGTTAGTAGTAGTAGTAGTTAGTAGTCATCAGAATCAGTCATCGCATTGGGTTCGTTATCGTAACAGTGGGTCGAAATTCCTCCCCGGCCAGGAGAAATTGACCAGTCCATTGGAGGACACGCATCAAGTCCTTTCACTGATACTCTCGCCATCCATGCTGGGCTGGCCCGTTCGCCGAACGCGAATGTTTTCGGCAGGGTTGAACCGGAACAAAATCGCATGGCTTGGACCAGAATCATCTGAAGATTTACTGGAAGACTTTATGTCTTTTTTTGCCGCTTCAGTAGAAGTTGATGGAGGCGTTTTCTTGATATCTTCAGAGGAAGATGTGTTAGCAGAAGAGAAGAGAATGGCCCGGTGCCGTGGGCATAATTTTTTTTCTAAGGTGACCAAATTGGAGAAGCACCAGTATCTTGCCCCTGGACAGCTTGTGCGCCTTGAAGAATACAAAAGAATGTATTCAAATCTCCAGGGTGAATGCGCTACAAAAAGTTTTTTCGCTGATTTGGACCAAAATGTGAAAGGCGCTGGCGGCGCCAGCACAGCTGGCAGCATGATACCAAGTCTTTTGACGCATACAGCTTTGTATGCCTGTCATTCCGATGCTGACAGACTGGTGACGCCAGAAGAACTATATTTTGCTCATGGCTACAATTGCATCAAGTTGCCGAAGGACTCAGCTGCGAGATCTTGTCGAATCAAAGGATGCTTGAAAAAGCTTACCGCACCGCAGCAAATCCAACTCCTAGGGAATGGATGGCATTTGGCAGTGCTCTCAAGTTGGGTGACATACATTTTGTCACACTGCGTGTTCCTCAACCGGACTATGTCTTTCCAGCCGGAGAAGAGTTTGCTTCGAAGGGGTGGTTCGCAGCTGTGCGAGCTTGAAACGCCGGAGAAGAAACGCAAGACAGAGAATGATGATGATGCTGCAAGTAAGGTGACTGTGACGTTGCCGTTGCCGGACTAACTGGCCTTGCGCATTTCTGCAGCATTCGTGACATCAGCTGGACAGGAAAAAGCTTGCCTATTAGTGCTGCTGCAGTTGGCAGAAAGTAAGTTTCAGTCTAAATTTTCCATTTTGTCAAAGCCGGTAGAGCAGTTGTGCGGTCTGACCGCCGACTGAAACTTAGGTACCGAGGTATTGTTACACTGTTTCTGTGGTGAAGAAGTTCGTTGAGGAGGGTAACCATTATGCAGTTGTGCGGTCTGACCGCCGACTAAAGCAAAGTACGAACGGAGCTACACGTAGCCGCCGTAGCCGTAGCCGCTTGCAGAGTCACGGAGTTTGGATTTTCAGCATGTATTCAAACGCATTGCTGCTATTTTTCAATCAAAAACACAGTGGAGAGTCGAGAGTACAGGTTGTTACACAAAAAGCTTTTGAATGCAACAATTGCAACAAACAAACATATACGACATCGCAACTGTTGAAGCTGGTGGCACGGACTCTCGAGCCGAGCCCAATGATGCCTGCAATAGCATGTGGATTTCTTCTGGTGATTGCAGTGGTGGCGCACATGGTGCCATCAAGAGAACCAGAACCGGAAGATATAGATGAGGAAAACCAGATGGAGCCATCAGCAGAGCCCCAGAGTTCCAGGTATGAATCCAACGCGAGATCTCTAGGATTGAAGTTTCCTGGAGTATTTGCAGATGCTATGTTTCGAGCTGAGGGTATGTTGCTTTGGTTGTATTTCAGATGCCAAGCGAGAGTGCAGCGCGGCAAAGATGTCATGGTGAATGCTCAGCGAATGAATGAGCTTGCTGACCTGATCCATATGTTCATGGATCGACCCAACAGTGTTCAACGCGGCCACATGAATGAAAGCCTGATCGCATTGAGCGACCTTACAGATGACGAAGAATCCCCACGCTTTCAATTCAGTGAACAGCAGGTGAAAGATGACATTGGTGAAGCATTCCAAGGATATCAAGTTGGAATGGGATTGTTTGGACATCTACGACACGACTTACGACGTCCTACGCTTCGTACAGCTGATGATGATGAAGTTGAAGATACAGCGGAAAATGAAGAACAACGATACCATAGGTATTGCCGATCAACCTTGTCAGAAGTGTCAGATCCAGACACTTGGATGGAAGTTCATCACGAAGCAGAGGATGAGCGACACTACATGCTGAGTGAGCGCCATGAAGTGTCAGATGGAGACGGAGAACTATGGGATGAACAACAAAGTGAAATGATGCGAGAGAATGATGAAATTGCCAGAGGTGAATTTGCAGATGAGAACGAATTTTGAAAAATGAGCTGTCGCAACAGGTTAACATGATCCTGCTGGACAGAAGCTACAATAGTGAGCTGCAATGCTTGCCAAGCTGAGAGGGATAGAGCATATGGTTTATTGACACCACGTCAAAAGACCGTTTTAATGTTCAATGGTGACAAGCTGTTGCTTTACCAGTTAGTTTCCACGGTCTATTTGCACTTGGGACTTTGATGAAGTCCTGGTGGAACCAGTTTGTGTTTTCTGTGTTTGTTTCATGACGTAGGTAGAAACATTTACAGTTTGACGCAAGGAGTAAATGACTCTTGGATCAAAGGCGGGGTACGGAAATGTTTCCATGCCACTTTAAACCAGTTTAGACAGTTGCGTGTAGGAGTTAAAAACTACTCCAAACACTAAAAGCAGTGCAACCAAATCTCACATTTACGAAAATTACGAAAAATTACGAAAATTACGAAAAATTACGAAAATTACGAAAAATACGAAATTACGAAGAACAATGAGCATTATCTTATCAAACAAGTAAAAATAAAATTTGCAAAAAGAGCAAGAATAATACTTATTGTTTTACGTGTTACGAAAATTTCGAAAATTACGAAAATTACGTAAAATACAAAAAATACGAGAATTAAGAAAATTAGGAAACTTATTAAATATACTTTATCAAAATTTCGAATATTTCGAAATAACAAATGTATTTTCAAAAATGTAGTGAAAAACACGTATGAAAAAAACATACTTTAAAAACATAGAAAAGAGCAAAAAGTACAGCAAAGACATTACTTTCAATTGTTAACCATAGAAAAGTATGAGAAATTATGCACAAAATATGGTGTAAAGGAAGAAGCAAAAGTTCAAGAAGTAAATGAAAAAAAGTAAACATAAGAAATGAACCGTGTGGATTTTTGATAGATTATGTTCGTGTATATTTTGGGTATAGAGGGGAACAACCTAAGATCCTTGTAGGAAAGTTAGCAGCTGCATCCCCCGTATAGATCCGCTGGGAACACTGCACGAGATCGAATACTTCTCCTTTCACTTCTGTTGTCCACTCCTCTGGTGCGCGAAAGACAGTTGGGAGGCCAAATGTGAGTTCAGCGGCCTGGGCAAGAGCCCAGCACTGAGTTCCAATTGCAGGTCTTCGTTCCCACAAGCCAAGCAGCGCCACTTGTTGCTGATACGAGAGCGGGGACGGTGGGATCTTCGCATGGACACGCAGGCCTATGACTGGGAGAAAGTTGTGGTGGAGCCACTGTGGCTGCCACTCTGGTGTCCCAAACAGGGCTGCTGCTAGTGGTAACCAGCCAAACTGCGCCAATTCCTCAAGTCGCGATGGTAGCCGTTGCTTGGCCCTTGTTCCAAAACCATGCAGTATGGCAGGCCTCATGAAGCGCGGTTCAATTTCCATGGCCTGATAAATCTTGTCTCCTGGTAACACTTTGATCGCAACCTCGCCCGGGAGGAGACTGAGTGTTGGCAAGGCCCCTTGCTCATAGGCGGGCCGGGCCCACTTATGAAAATTGGGTTGTCTGCCTTGGAAGCCGTCAAGGATTCCTCGCAAGTGTCCATGCCGAGGCCACTGACCCGTTGCAGGTACAGGAAAACGGCAGCCATGAGCACCTCAGAGCCAATCAGCCCGTGCAGTTCCAGTAGTCTCACACGGTTAGCGTGGGGTACTCACGGTTGCCACGCATGACAAACAACCACTGTGCACACAGGTGCTGTCACCATGGGGTACCCATGGTTGACTACCGCCTAGTTGATCTAGGACACCCCCTCTACCGTAACCGACTGATTGAGTGGTAAGCTAGCCTTTGTAAGGATGGGAAGGGAGGAAGGGGGAGGGGATAATAGTAACCTTTTTAATGGGCCTCCACTTAATTTTGTCTCTGGTAGCGTAGGACGATGTCAAAGTACATCAAGCCATGGAACCCGTTACCGTTTGACATTACTTCAAACTGACATACTGACCGGCCACATATGATTTCCAAATGGACGTCCCTATGCCCTTGCTCCGATGAGTTGACAACACTGCGGTTGATGGATGGACCGCCCAGCTGCTCTACGCCTGCAGAACACCCTGCGTGCAGTTTAGCCTTGTAGTATGGCCCGCCCAACTCCAATGAAAGATGCTGCTGTCAATCGCCTAGCAAAGTCAATTACTCAACTGACCCTGTGTCAGGTCACTACCGGTGAGGTAGATGCTGCCACCAAACTGCTCGACAAGGCATGCCAGAAGCTTCAAGGTATCCAAAATATCCCATCCCAGAGGGTCACTGACCTCGAAGCTGCCATACGCCAACTCCGCCAAATTAGCTGTATCTTAGATAGTTGTACAATCTCTGCCAGCTACGAAGTAAGCCAGGCGCAGAAAGCCATACTGCTACTGCCACATACAGCTAAAGGGGCAAGCACGTCATCGGAAGAGCTTAACGCACAGATATCACCACGCACTGATGATGAGCATAATCTTCCATACCATGAAGACGACTTGCAAGAGCACTAGTGCACTGGAACTTACCGCAAACCACAGCTCGCATGATGCTGATGCTAGGAAAAGAACTACTGAGTGGACTCTGAGTGCGCCCTGAGTGCCGTAGCTTCACTTTAGACCATGTTTCACCTCCCTGTTTCACCTTTCTCTCGTTTCTCACCACTCTCGTTGCGACCCGGCGTTGTCGGTGTTTGCTTCGAAGTGCTTGGGTGAATATCATGCCGGTACGGCTGCTCTTTGTGATCTCGGGGATCCTGGCTGGGGGGATCCCTGGTTTCCGCATTGAGCTTTTGTTGCTTCTACCACCCGATGTGGCCCTTTGGTGTGTTTTTGTTTGGTTTTGTTTCGTGTTTTATTTTGGGCCATTCTCAGGATGACACATAAGATGTCATCATGCATGGAATTCCCACTGCTGGTCGCAATCCTTTCTCTGTCTTTTTTTGGCTGGTTTTTGTTTTGGTTGTTTGTTTTGGTTTGTGTGTTCTTTTCTGGTTTGTGTGGTCTTTGATGGGATTGCTCACTGGACTTTGTATTGGTCCACTACCAGCTCTTTTGAGGCTGCTGACCCAATTGACGGCCTTGCAAGCAAATTACAATTCAGCTTGTCTGCTGCAGTTGAACGTGTGTAACGACCTGGCGAAAGCCATGAAGGCGTTGGACGGAAAAAAAAGCCCTGAGTGCCGTAGCTTTTGCTGTCATTTTCACACTAGACCATGTCTCACCCTCCTGTTTCACCGTTCTCTCTTTTCTCACCACTTTCGTTGCGACCCGGCATTGTCGGTGTTTGCTTCGAAGTGTCAGGGTGAATGTCATGCCTGAACGGCTGCTCTTTGTGATCTCGGGGATCCTGGCTGGGGGGATCCCTGGTTTCTGCATTGAGCTTTGTTGCTTCTTACACCCTCTGACCTGGCCCCTGGTGTTTTTGTTGTGGTTCTTTGTTTTGCTTCTTGTTAGGGGCCATTCTCATCATGACACACAAGATGTCATCATGCATTAATCCCCATTGCTGGTAGCGATCCCACTTCTTGGTGTTTTTTGGTTGTTTTGTTTTTGCTTTGTTTTTTGGTTTTTGTTGTTGGTTTGTTGTTTTCTTGTTTTTGCTTGTTTGCTTTTGTGGTTTGTTTTGTGTTTTTGGTTTTCTTGCTGGGACTGCATACTGGACTGCGTATAGGTCCACTACCAGTACTTTTGTGGCTATCGACAAATTGACAGCCGTGCACGATAATTACCATCCATCTTTTGCTACGATCGAACGTGTGTAACGACCTGGCGGAAGCCATGAAGGCGTTGGACGGAAAAAAAAAATAGAACATTCTCAGCTCATCAAAAGTGCAGAATCTCAATGAATACCGATGTCAAATGCAGTATCATAGAAGCATCATCCAATGAACTATTGTACCAAATAGAGGTGCACAACGGTCTAATCCCAGCGTACATCGTGAAGAAGCACGACGGTCCAACACCATATATTCACAGATCCCTTCCCTCTCTGCCATGTGGCAACTGTTCTTTTTTGTTTTGGTTGGGCTCTGGCGGGTCGTCCTGGGTGTTTTTTGTGTTGTTTGGTTATTGTTTTCATTGCCACTGCGTGTTACTGTACAGCCTGAACCATTTGTGTTCAATCTCTTATTTGACAGCTTATACAACTTACAGGACCGAGCCCATCGGCCGAACCCGGAAATAAAAGCACCAAGATGGGCTCACATTGCCTTCAAGAACTTCCAAAATGGGCAAAGATAGCCGCCGACCATCAAAATATCATGCGTTTTAATGTTTTACAATGTTTTTTTGCTGTTCCCATTTTTCGGCTCTTTCGGCTCAACATGGTTCAACATGAGGCCAACATAGGCAAACATAGCCGCAAGATAGGCCAACATAGTGGGCCCCTGGCCGGCTGTCGCGCGTAAGCGCTGAAATACGGCCAGGGGCCCCCTGGCCGTGTCCTTGCTGTACGGCAGTTCTCTCCTCTCCGTAGGAGAGAGGGCTGCACCCCCTGCCGCCGACCATCCATTTTTTTCCCCTTTTTTCGGATCTTGTGGCTCGAGATGGGCCACCATAGCTCCAAGATGGGCCAACATAGCCCCAAGATGGGCCAACATAGCCCCAAGATGGGCTCACATTGCCTTCAAGATAGGCCAGCATAGCCCCAAGATGGGCCAACATAGGCCCAAGATAGGCCGCCGACCATCAAAATATCATGCGTTTTACTGTTTTACAATTTTTTTTGCTGTTCCCATTTTTCGGCTCTTTCGCAACATGGGTCAACATGAGGCCAACATAGGCGAACATAGCCACAAGATAGGCCCCTGGCCGGCTGTCACGCGTAAGCGCTGAAATACGGCCAGGGGCCCCCTGGCCGTGTCCTTGCGGGCCGCCGACCAACCAGGTTGCACCAAAAATTTTCGCGTTTTACGGTGTTTTGTGCTCTTCCCATTTTTGTTTCCACTTTTTCGGACTTTCTGGCTGCAAATGGGTCAACATGGGCCCACATAGGCTTCATGATGGGCCAACATAGGCCTCAAGATGGGCCAGCATAGCCCCCAAGATGGGCCAACATAGCCCCAAGGTGGGCCAACATAGCTCCAAGATGGGCCAACATAGCCCCAAGATGGGCCAACATAGCCCCAAGATGGGCCCACATTGCCCTCAAGATAGGCCAACATAGCCCCAAGATGGGCCCCAAGATAGGCTGCCACCATCAAACTATCCTGCGTTTTAAAGTGTTTTTTGTTGTTAGTAAGAGTAGTAAGAGTAGTAAGTAGTAAGAGTAGTAAGAGTAGTAAGAGTAGTAAGAGTAGTAAGAGTAGTAAGAGTAGTAAGAGTAGTAAGAGTAGTAAGAGTAGTAAGAGTAGTAAGAGTAGTAAGAGTAGTAAGAGTAGTAAGTGTAGTAAGTGTAGTAAGTGTAGTAAGTGTAGTAAGTGTAGTAAGTGTAGTAAGTAGTAAGAGTAGTAAGTAGTAAGATTAGTAAGTAGTAAGAGTAGTAAGTAGTAAGAGTAGTAAGAGTAGTAAGTAGTAAGAGTAGTAAGTAGTAAGAGTAGTAAGTAGTATGAGTAGTAAGAAGTAAGAGTAGTAAGTAGTAAGAGTAGTAAGTAGTAAGAGTAGTAAGTAGTAAGAGTAGTAAGTAGTAAGAGTAGTAAGTAGTAGTAAGTAAGAGTAGTAGTAAGACTAGTAGTAGTAGTAGGAGGAGGAGGAGTAGTAGTAGTAGCAGTAGTAAGTATTAGTAATAGTACTAGTAGTAAGTAGTAGTAAGTAGTAGTAAGTAGTAGTAAGTAGTAGTAAGTAGTAGTAAGTAGTAGTAAGTAGTAGTACTGGTAATAGCACTAGTAGTAGTAGTAGTAGTAGTAGCAGCAGGAGTAGCAGCAGGAGTAGTAGTAGTAGTAGTAGTAGTACTAGTAGTAGTACTAGGAGTAGTACTAGGAGTAGTACTAGTAGTAGTACTAGGAGTAGTACTAGTAGTAGTACTAGGAGTAGTACTAGTGATAGTTCTAGTAGTACTAGTAGTAGTACTAGTAGTAGTCGTAGTAGTTGTAGTTGTAGTAGTAGTAGTACTAGTAGTAGTACTAGTAGTAGTACTAGGAGTAGTACTAGTAGTAGTACTAGGAGTAGTACTAGTGATAGTTCTAGTAGTACTAGTAGTAGTACTCGTAGTAGTCGTAGTAGTTGTAGTTGTAGTTGTAGTTGTAGTTGTAGTTGTAGTTGTAGTAGTAGTAGTAGTAGTAGTAGTAGTGGTAGTAGTAGTAGTAGTAGGGGAGGCCGGCGGGCAGGACGGCGCAAAAATGCACTGCATTGCTTGGTCATGAAACAAAAACTACCACGTTTGGGATCTACGGCCGCTGCTTTCTTGCTGTTGGGGATATTCTTTGGGCTTATTGTCAAACAAAGCTAAAATATGCGGTTGCGAATCAAACAACCCATTTTAACCCAAAAAAAATTCGAATGAAGTATAATAGCGTTGGCACGCCAATCAATGACCCATCTTAACCTAATTGATCGGAACCTCGATGCACCTCATTTTATGAATGCACATGTCAACCCAAAACCAAGTGGCCGCACAATGGCAGAAAGAGTCCCGCCACATTTGGGTCAAGGGGTATCCACCTTGCCGGAAGCTGCACGCGCACCCACTCACATCCCTTTCCTGAGAAAATACAGGGAAACGGTTCGTTAAAAAATAAATCACAAACAAAAGTAGAGAAAACAGGGGAAACAAATGGAAATAGGACAGAAGACGAGTGGTATGAGTTATGGTATTTTTGATCGAAATATATGAACGTATTGAATGCCAGACAAAATAACACGATTAAAATGAATACCGGGATAGACGGATAGACGGATAGAGGGAACGAACACACATGTTCACATTAGCCAGCTGACATTTTGCATCAAAATAAATGCAGGATGCTTGAAATGGCTGGTTGCAAAATTCGTCAAATGATGGCATGAAAAACGCCGCCCCGTAGTGGAACCATCTTGTTGCAATGGGGTTCCATTCAGATGGTTCCTGAGAGGCGCAAACATCATTGCGCATCAAAATTTGTGTGCTATCAAAATTTAATATTGATTTCAAGGTATTTCCATGAGTTCAAGTCTGCTCTGTTTCAGCAAATGTTTTGTGTCAATTGTCGTTTGGCACCTGGACTTGCAAAAATCTTGCAAATGTTTTTTCAATTTGTCCATAAATTTTGGTGTCCTCGGTGACCCTCGGTGTCCTGTGTGACGTAGTGAAACAATCACCTGAGGTGCCTGACAAAGGTGTGGGCGCAGTTTCGACCTTTTGCCAGGCAAATTTGGCGGGGTAGAGAATGTGCCCACGCGCCATTTCGTGGACGATCCTCTCCCAAGACAGTGTTGAATTGGACAAATTCAACATCAATGTACAAGAAAAACAACATATTTCATTATATTTATGCATGAAATTTGATGTAACCATTTGTTTCCAGATTTGAAAACCGAAACAACCCATGCCCGTCCTGATGGATTAAGCCAAGTCTCGAACACCGATTTGCCAGGGTGGGTGGTCCAGACTTACCAGCTCGCGCAGTGTCCTTGGCTCGTAAAGCAGGTGATGACCAGGCGGGCAAACAGCAATGTGAATGATCCATAATGATCCAACAAATTGTCCCCAATCTTGCGGTTTTCCCATGCACCCGCCAGGCTTGGGCTGAGTTTGAGAAACAATCTCTGGCACAATGCAGCCAATGGCATGGAGGGGACTTGGTGAAGGCACAGTATCACTGGGACGGCATATAAAAACACAATGTTTCATGTTCAATCATGAATTCAACCATGTTTCCCATAGATTTCCTTCAAACATTGATAAATTACACCGGATCGAACTGTTTAAGAGCGGTGTATTTTCTTGCTCACGGAAAGTAGGTGAATTTGCAAAGGAAAAAGGATGTGCTAAAACCACTTAAGGAAATTTGTGCAAAACAAATGTTGAAACTTGGGATGAAGATGGATGAAGTATCTCGGCGAGGATTAAAGACTCGAAAGACTCGTGTGGTTTCTTTTCTTCCTCTTTTCCCGCTTGAACTCTGTCCGACAGTCCCAGCCTGTGAGGTTTTGCATGCTTGCGCAATTGCACAGCGTCGCCCACATCACCTTCTTGCAAAGTTGGCGAAGGCCGATGTGAAAGGGCGATGTTCTTGTCCGCCATTGATCGTTCTGTTTCTTTTCTATAGTCAAAAACATTAGCACATGACATTGCAATTTGGACCTCTGTTCATATCAGTTCGAAACACAAATCGGAGTGGACAACACAAGTGGGAAAGGTTTTTTGCCACTGTTTTGCAGTTGCCTTCAGGAAATTCCTGATAAGCTGCCTCAATTTGACGTCTCTTCCCTGTGTCCCCCAGTGGCATATGATGCGCGCGCACTGTGTCTTGCGTTTTCTTCTGAGTGCAGTTGGATACCACGTGAGCAATGGGCAAAAGTCTTAGATGATGGTTACATACGCCAATTTCAGCGGATTTATGGTTATGGTCGTGGAAATATTGGAAATGCTCACACACACACACAAATCACTGTAACTAAGGGATTTCTTGAACAGTTCTGGACATTGCTGATGTGAGCCCTCTCCAGAAGTCCTGCTGGATGAGACATTCTCGTTGTATGTCAGAAACAACCATGACAAAAATCAGAATTCCTGCCTGTGCTGCAGAATTGCTCTTGCCTCACTCATTTCCAAGGCATTTGTCTTCACAGTTTTGCTCAACTGCGATCCAAACAGACGGCTCTTTTGAAGGCTGCAGAGGGGCTATTCACATGCATCAGTTGTTTTGGTCATGAACCTTTCCACCTTTCTTGGCAAAATACCAATCAGTTGAGACAATGTAGGAACAAATCTGGTTGGAAAGCAACAACTTAGCCCACATGCAGCAAACTGGGTAGTTCTTGAACATGCAGTCAATCAGTCAGAGAGGTAGACCAGTTACAACGGAGCGGACTTTGACAGACTGGAAAGGCACAAACTACTTTTTGTTCACACCGCAATCTGAGTACCTGGTCAATCCTGTAGGTGATTTCAAGACGACTCCTTCACCCGGATATCGTACCTGAATCTTGGTCACATGGAAAGTGTTCGTTCCAAGGTAACTGATTGGTTCGAAGGAGAGCGTATGTGTCGACTGGAAACCTGAGACACTTTGACACTCAAGCCATGCAAGATCAGCTCCTTTTCATTTTGGGTGCTTCAGAAACAGGACTCAGATCTGTGATCACGGAGCTTGGGACGGAAGGTGCAGCTTTCACGCTCTCATCCCAATTTCGACTCAGGATCTCAGTGCCCAGCACCTGTCCTCCTTGCTTTACTCCCATGTGCGCGTGCTCTACTTCGATGCCGGGCTCACAAGGCAACACTAGCAGCCGGGCTCGACACCCTCGACACCCTATTCATTCTTAGTCCCAATTTTGAGATCATTCCACTTTCTCTAAACATGAAACGTGTTTTTGCCAGCGCCTTGCTATGAACCAGTGGATTGAGAAAGCTCTACATTTATGCAATATGTTTGTACATGCATCATGTCTCAACTGGCAGTGCTGACAAAATATTCAATCCAAAGTGCGCTATCAGGGTTGCATCCTTTGAATTCCTTTGATGTATCATGGGGTCCTTTGTGAGGCTGGCCTCTGCGCGGATTGCTAGCGAGGCGTGGCCTATGGAGGACGGATAGAACCTTCGGAATGTCGTCAAGATTCATGGCATAGAGCTTGACTACTTCAGCGCTGCCCACGTACCGCTGCATGGACCACACAAATTCGGCCTTTGCGACATCATGTGACCATGTGAAAAGTAAGCTCTGGAGATGGTCTTTCTCTACCATATTGACCATATTGCAGATGAAACTCTTGAAGGCTTCGCAGATCATAGTAATAAGTGTATGACAACAAGCTTGCAACCAGACAGAAACGTTGGCTCAAGCTCTTTCATGCTCGAAGCTGTGTTCCGGTCAGTCCCTGTCTTGGTTGAGGGGGTCAGGACAAACTTCTTCCGCCTAGGTTGTCCCGTCTATTGCGCACAACTCTTCCCTCCTCCTGGCCCTGGTCATTGGAGGTCTTCTTGGATTTTGCTCCTGTCTCCTCCTTCTTTGGACTTTTTGGACACACCTTCGTCCCGACCTGTCATCTTCTGCCACTTGGTGTCCACCATCTACCTCCACGAGTCCCTCAAGGTACTCAGCGCTGGGTATCTGAATGAGATTGAATGAGTGTGGGCCCCAACTGCGAAGATACCGTTGAGTTGCCCTGTCCCGTGGGGGAGCTCAAGGTATCAATACGTGCTTCTCCTACTGCTAGCAACGGTTCTTTTGACTCGACCTCATCTTATCCAAGCTTGCTGATTCTCCTCGTCCCTTTTCTTCGAGGTTGCTTGAGACAAGAGCGCAGATTGAGAGGAGCTGCCCCCGAGAATTGCTCAGGCAGGCATCGCGTTTGTCGGGATCCAGCGTTTCTGGATCATGGAAAGCTGGCCAGTGAGGTGGTGCTGTTGTGGGCTTTCCGACCTGAGGCCAAGGTTCTACGTCATCCTCCGTGTAAATAGCCTGTCAGGCCCACCCTGTGCACCTCGGCTGGTGCCTACTGGAGGATCATTGGAGAGTTGGCCAGTTTGGATTCAGTTTCCCATTCGTTCCCATCAGAGCCGGAAGCCAAAGCTTATCTTGCAGGAGCGAGAATCACTGAGTTTGATACAGTGGCAAAGACGGACGAAATGGATACCATGGATGGGATGGGCGAAGAGCTATCCACGTAGGGCCTACGTGCTTTCTTGGAATCTGGACCCAGAGTCAGAAGAGTTTGCAGAGGTGACAGTTTTGGCACTTAGGAGGCGAGAAGCGGGAGTGCTACTTGCCGTGCCAGCAGGCTTTTTGCCAGCAGCCAGCAATCAGTGCTCGCAAGGGGTCGAGAAGATACGGTATCTGGTCCATCAGTCACCCTCCAAGCCGCAGCAATGCTCTCAGACGCCGGGGTAGTCTCCCGCACAGGCACCTATGTGGAAGTTTTGGTGGTGGACTGCTCAGCCGAGGTGGTTCATTTTCTCAGGCCTTTTGTTCCAGAAGAAGAAGTAGCAGTAACAGATGGTTTCGACGAAGAGAGCCTTTTGTTTTCCCATCAATAGATGCAATGTTGCCCAGAATCAGAGAATGGGCTCTTGGGACTGCAGGAGACAAGCTAGCCTTTTACACGCCTGAACAAAAGGAGGAGAACGAGCCTGTCCCAGCTCCGGCATGTTCCTGCAGACGAAAGCCGGCGCTCAGAGAGGCTACGCAGCTACGCGTTTAGGCGATGGTCCAAAAGCAAAAGCAAAGAGGCCGTCAATGGCCAGCCTTGCACAGGACATGAAAAGCATGCTGGAGACCCTGCCAAAGTTCTCAGCAGAGCTGGGGAGATTGAGCGAGCGTCAGCAAGCGATGGAGCTCAGACTTCCAGTCAGTGGGAAGCTTCCACCTCTGCCTTTGATCCAGTTTTTCGAAAGCCTTCAATTCATCCTCCAGTGACTCAGATTGCAAGGGCTATCCAGCCACCCCCAAGAACTGGGACGAAGAGCAACCTTGGTTCATTGGTTTCTCCTGATGCAAGACCCCCGGAGTTAGACGCGCTGGAGGGCGAGAAATTGGCTGCCGATCCGACATTGTCCCAGAATGCAGGAGATGCACTGGCCAGAGCCGTTTTGGTGCAGAGCCAGGGCTTGACTTCACTTGTGCTGCAGATCGCATCAGCACACAGCGACCCAATGTCAGACCTTGCTGCTTGGACGAGCGCAGGCACAAGAGGAGCATCAGCAAGAGCGAGGCTTCAGATGGAGCTGGCAGCTCATCGTGGAAGCTTCTTCAATGCAGTGATGCAGAGTATATCCAGCCGCATAACTCCTACCAGCTCACCCAACGTGTCTGCAGAGGAACTCCTTCAGCGAGGTGTCAGTGGTGTGAGGCACCTCGAACGTTTTGGGGGGTACGGCAGATGCAGACAGCTGAACCAGTTGCAATTTCAGGTGATGTCGGTCTTCGACTACATGATGGCTCAGAATTTCCCAGCTGCAACGGACGGCCTTGCATTACTAGCTGTCACAATCGAGCAGGTGAGTCTGGATGGGGGCCGCATGGAGCTGGCAACACTGTTATGCTTACAAGAGGATCCGCCGTCATCGATTTTCATGCCAACTGTCAAGGGGGGCCTTTGCACCATTGGGGGGCCAAAAGTGGTTGACATGTGCCTTGGCGTCTTTGAAGGAGCTGGAGGTGATCAATTCAAACCGCACAGGGAGCTGTCAACCGGAAAACCAGCTTCCGACAATTCATCAGGGGCACCTCACAGCAAAGCAGGCGCGAAGCCGAAAGCAAAGTGGGGAAAGAAGAAAGGAAAAGGAAAGGGCGAAAACCAACAAGGAGGAGGATGCCGAGTAGGCATCAACGCTGAGAGCGATGGAGGAGCTGAGCAGAGTTTGTGGGCAGGGCCAAACCTTGAAATCAATTTTGTCAGGTGGGCTGTTTGCCTTCCAAGATGGATGATGCGCTGTCGCAGCCGATTTTCATGGCGGTCTTTCAGTGCATGTTGGCGAGAAGATATAGCCTCGCCTACCACAACCTTCCCACTGCCTGCACCGCATCCAGGATGTTTTGACAGCAGTGGCCCTGGGCTTAGAGAGAGGGATCTAGCAGTTTTGGCCAGAAAGAGGCTTTTGCGCATCATTGTCTTTTGCCTCAACTACCTGTGCCTTGGCAGGTTTCCAACCCGTAGAGAGCTTGGAAGGCGCCCGAATAGCAGCGAGATGGGCTGCCTGCAGCGTTTGAGAGCGCTTTTGGTTGTGTCTGGAGCGGATGGTGGCAGCTATCCAATTGTTCCCGGACGTTCTGGTCCTGAATTAGGTGCAGCTTTTTTCCAGGTGGAGCACTTCCCGGAGAGCAACCATGAGCTGACCCAAATGCTACGTTCAGCGGAAGCCTATGCCTATGCAGTTTGCTGACAAAAAGGAGCTTTTTCCTGCTTCCTTTCTCCTATCCTGTGTCTGACTTTGAAGGAACTCTCGCACTGAAGCGCTATGAGCAGAGCACCCGACCACAAAAGCGAAGGAGGGAAGCTCACGGAGATGGTTTTGGAGGAGGTGAGAGCCATTTAGGAGGGGCAGCTGCGAAGTCTCGGCTCTATCCTTGTTTCGCTTCACTTTTCCAACGCGATCATTTAGGAGTCGAATGCGCGCTCAGTGCCCACGAGGAGGTCCTTCGTCTTGGTGGTCTGTTGCAGCCGCACCGGCGCTTGCAGGGGCACTCGATTTTCCCTCGGTCAAAGCATTTGGAAGGGCTGATCATTGATGATTTCTTTGCAATCGGCATTGAGACTGTCAAGACTCTTGTTCTCAACAGTTTTGCTGCGACGGCGCTTTCCCAGGCGAGAGAGGTGTACAAGGAGCATGGCCTGTTGGGTTACCTGAAAGGACGTTGATGCATGTGATGATTTCAAGGCCGCCAGTGCGGAGATCAAGTCAGACGCCAGTGCGGTGCAGCGGGCAGTTGCAGGGTGGCGAAGCATCAAGCTGCGCGCGTTGACCGTCCAGATATCATAACACTTTCAGATGCAGTTTTTGGAGGGTTGGGGAAGAATGAGAAGCTTTGGCCTTTTTCAGCTGCAACTCTGAGACGGAGGTTTTCAGATTTACTGCAAGCTCTGGGGCTCCCAATCCGAAGGGTCAAAGGAAAGCGCCCTTTTGACTTAGGCAGTTTGCGCCCAGGAGGGGCCACTTTCATGTTTTTGGAACGCGCAGATGCTGAATGTGTGCGGCGAAGAGGCAGGTGGGTCAGCTCCAAGGTCTGTGACATATACAGTCAAGAGGTCATGTACACCACTTACACAGAAAAACTGACTGAAGATACAAAAAACGCATCCATCAACTTGCCTCTGCCTTTCCGCGCATCATCAACATCGCCATCATGTTCCTTCGAATACCAGTCCCACCACGCACGTGGTATCGACTCTACCAGGCTGAAGACACTGTGGAGCTTTGAGAGGTATGGGAAGAGAATGGGAAATTTGCCAGTTTTTGCCCAACGTAGCAGCGATGGAAAGCTTCGCCATTGCAGATGGAAAAAGTGGGATGGCCGGGCAGCATGCTTGACAACAAACAAATCCCGCCCATAGTGGCGTCTCAGCCTGGTGGGAAATTTGCCAGTTTTTGCCCAACACAGCATGGGCCGCCGGCGATGAAAAACTTCGCCATTGCAGATGGAAAAAGTGAGATGGCCGGGCAGCATGCTTATATATATATATAGATATATATTATAGCATTATGTTGTACGAAGAAATCGGTCAATTCTTGTGTCTTTTTGTTTCGTACTTTTGCGCGCAGAGTTCTCTGCTCCCCTTTTGAACTTTATCTGAAGGACTTGGCTACAGCCTTGCAGGCATTTGCAACGTTTCGCAGGGGCACCAAGCTGGCCGGCTAGCCAAGGGTTTGATATGCCGTCTTGTCACTTGTCACAAACCTTTTCAGCATGTTCCATGGGTGTTTGCGCCGTGCGAGGACTATCATTTGAATTTCTTTTGCTTCTTTGCCATTCTTTGGCTTCTTGTTTTGTTGGGTTCGCCTTTGCTATTTGATCTCGGCACGCTAGAAATCGGTCAGCTGTCTGAAAATGGGGTATTTTGGTATAGCCCCCAAATGGCCATCTCAGAATGCCGATTCAGCAGTGGCCTTATTGGGAGACAAAACCCATCCAGGGATTCGATTGAGGCATGGAGCAGGTGCGGCTCTCCACCACTTCAGCGCGTCAACTGGCTGAAGCGGCACCAATGTTGACCGTGCCTTTGCTGGGAGATCTGTTGGAGGTGCACAGAAAGGGCATTGGAAACATTCTGAACTCCATCGTCCGTATAAATTGGATGCTTCAATTTGCCTAGCCCAGTTTCAGGAGCAGAGGGTGTTCCAAATTGCTGATGGCTTGAACCAAACGAAGGGAGGCTGGCAGGATAGAGGCAACATCAGATGCATGCGATCGTTTCGATGGCGCATTGAATACGGAAACCACTTTCCAAGCCAGGAAAGAAAACATCGCATAGCTGCCATGGATTTCCTGTATCCACTTTGGGTTCAAGACGTTTGAGTTATTGATTGCTCAGACCAGCCTTCAAGCCAATGAAACCACTCCAGCTATGAAATTAGCAGCTGACAGGACCCCAACTTGGTCCATTTGCACGAAAGTCCTATGTTTCTGTCACATTTTGATTGTTTATTTATCCAAAGACATTGGGGATTGGTTCCTAGCAGCTCCACCGCTTGCAATGTCAGTGTCACCTGCTAGCCGCTTTTCGTTCCTTTCTCAGATCTCTCAGTATTTGGGGTGAGCTGCTGACCAATCGCTTGCCTTTTGCCTGGCGCTACCTGCGGTTTTTTTTTCATGGAGTTCTTTGTTCTCCCCGCAACAGTTTCCATTTCGCTTGATGAAAGAACATCGGACAGAGCCCTGATGTTTACTCATTTTCATTTGCACGTGAGACAATATGAAGAATATGATCAGAATATGCATGAAAAACACTTTTTGCTTGTGAGTTTTCATGACCAAACTGCCCTAAGGTCCGTGATCTCTGGATCGCTGCTTGGTTTGCTGGTGATTTTCCGTGATGTTAGCTTCGCGCTCGTGTATTGCACACCACTGGCCTTGCAATCATCAAAGACCTTGATGATGGCGATGCTTGACTGAACAGATCTGGATTCTGGGCCAATACGCAGATGACCTAGCTTGTGCTTCCCTTCGCAAGATTCGCAAGCTCAGGACTCTGCTGCTTTCCTCTTGTGCTGCACAGGTTGTGTATTCCTTCAGACATTCTTTGCCAACAGTGATAGCTTGCACCTCTTCAGCGGCTGTCCCCTTTCAGAGCCCTTTGCTTGCGTATGGAGGGCTATTTTTTTTGGGGGGGGCATTTTTTTTTGGTCCTGGCTGCTGGAGGCTCCTGGTGGCTCCTGGTGGCTCCTGGTGGCTTCTGTGGCTTCTACGGTCCTGGTGGCTTCTGTGGCTTCTGGTGGCTTCTGGTGGCTTCTGTGGCTTCTATGGCTTCTATGGCTCCTGGCTCCTATGACTCATCTATCATCTATCGATCAACCTACCAGTGAAGCATGTTCACCAGGCGCATGTTGTGCATTAGATGCACATCCATCTATCTCTATCTCCATCTCCATCTCCATCTCCATCTCCATCTCCATCTCCATCTCCATCTCCATCTCCATCTCTATCTCTATCTCTATCTCTATCTCTATCTCTATCTCTATCTCTATCTCTATCTCCATCTATCTCCATCTATCTCCATCTATCTCCATATCTAATCTATCTATCTATCTATCTATCTATATCTATCTATATCTATCTATATCTATCTATATCTATCTATATCTATCTATATCTATCTATATCTATATCTATCTATATCTATCTATATCTATCTATATCTATCTATATCTATCTATCTATCTATCTATATCTATCTATATCTATCTATATCTATCTATCTATCTATCTATCTATCTATCTATCTATCTATCTATCTATCTATCTATCTATCTATGTATCTATCTCTATCTCTATCTATATCTCTATCTCTATCTCTATCTATATCTATACCTATATCTATATCTATATCTATATCTATATCTATATCTATACCTATCTAATTCTATCTATACCTATCTATATCTATCGATGTCTATCTATGTCTATATCTATGTCTATATCTATGTCTATATCTATCTCTATATCTGTGTCTATATCTATGTCTATATCTATGTCTATATCTATGCCTAAATCTATTTAAATCTATCTATATATACACCTACATCTACATCTGCATCTGCATCTGCATCTACATCTACATCTACATCTACATCTACATCTACCTATCTCTCTATC